GCAACTAGGGCAGACGCAGTAGTGGACTCAAAAGAGGGTGAGTGACGACAGTAGCAAGGAGACGCGTGACAGTAGGACTGGCAGCACGAAGAGAGTCCGACTCAGGGTCGGCAAGAGCAGGAAGAGAGGACTCAGGAGGAGAAGGCAACGGGGCACGCAGAGGAGTAGTGGATGGACGCAGAGACATCCGGTGCGTGCCAGGGACAGGAGGAGGACGCTGACGAGAACCGCGACCACTAGTGCGAGCAGCACGGACCGGTGACGGAGGGCGAGACGCAGGCTCACGACGCTCAGCAAGACCTCCAGTAGGACCAGTGTAGGGAGACGGAGCAGGCAGTGGGGAGGCCGGTTGTAACTGTAACTGCGACGGGACACGCTGTGGACACTCTAAGTGAGGAGGAGGACCAGTAGAAGACGAGAGACCAAGAACCTGCTGAAGGAGCGGAAGGAAGTACGGCCAAGGCCGCGCGGCGACTCCACACACAGCAGGGAGAGCACCAGCACCCCCGGTGGCAGCACGAGCACCACTAGTTGCTCCAGCTCCCGTACCTCCAGCAGCACCAGTAGTACCCCCAGCAGGACCGCCTCCAGGACCGACAGCAGTAGCCTCCGCGCCAACACCCACAGCAGCTCAAGCTCCAGAAGGACCCACAGGTCCAGCAGCTCCAGTACTCCTAGTACGAGCACCTCCGGGACCCGTGGCACTTGCTCCTTCAGCAGCTGACCAGACGCAGGGACTGGAGGAGACGCAGTGGTCAGTGTGTACTGGCTCGACCCCGGCCGACGTGTAAACGTGGCCAGGTGTCGGCCTGTCCGAGCGTCCGTGCAGTGGGTCACCCGCTGACTCGCAGGAGTGAACTAGTGAACCCCCGCATCCTGTAGGTCAGCACCACTCACCAAGTTCGTAGAGAACGAGGGGAGGTAAAGACCAGACAGGGTGCCAGAGGGGGATGCCGGACATGGGAGGATAGTGGAGAAGTGAGCAAGGACAGGACCCCCAGAGGGGTCTGCCAGGGAGACTGCAACTGGCCGACCAAGCGGCGTGAGTGTGGTGCGGTCTAGAGAGAAGGAGCGAGAAGCCCGCGAGTCAAGTGTGAAGGTGTGGGAGGCCAAAGCCGATGCAGTACCTGAGAGCGCAGACTCACCAGTACCGGAGGAAGCAGACGCACAAGCACCTAGAGCAGCAGCCTTGCTAGCACTAAGAGCAACAGCCTCACCAGCACCTAGAGCAGCAGTCGCAATGCCCGGGTCGGGCGGGAAACACCGGTAACAGTCACCCTCCTCACTAATAGACACAATATACATAGCAGCAAGAATAGCATCAAAGTCAAGGTCAAAGATAGCTACCCCTGCCCTAGACAACTCGCCCCAGCGAGGGATCTCAGTGGCCTCAGGGAACTGGTGACGCCAAGCGTCTGTCACGCGGCCAAAGCAGCGCTGGGTGGGGTGCGCACCCCCACATTGCTCACCCGCAGGGTCGCCGGTGCGCAGGACGTAGGTGCACGGACCAGTACCTCCACCCCGCTGGCGTGCAGAGTACCACTCACGGAGTTGCTGAGGGGACAGGGTCTCCCGATTGCGCTGCTGCTGCTGACGCTGACCACCACCGGAGCCACTCCTCTGCGAAGAGCCACGACCTCCTCCTCCTCCTCCTCCGCCACGACCTCCTCCACCTCCGCCACCTCCACCACCTCCGCTCCCACCGCCACCCCCGCCGCCGCCTCCGCCTCCACTGCCGCCGCCGACACCTCCACCCCCGCCACCACTCCCACCACCAACCCCACCCCCTCTACTGCCTCCACCGCCGCCTCCACCGCCCCCGCTAGCTCCTCCTACGCCCCTGCCCCCCTTGCCCTTGCCAGAGCGACGCTTCCCACTAGGTGTAGACGCCGCACCGACCGACTCCAGACCAACAAGGTCGGCCGTAGCAGCAGAGGCAATAGAGGGCAAGAGAGGGGAGGGGGAACACCCCTCAAAGATGGGGGTGCGCGGGTCACCACGAGAGGCCCCTACAGCGACTATGCTCTTCTCCGCTGCTAGGAGGGTCTTCTCGAGGAGGTCAACAGTGAGAGTGGTGGGACAGACTAAGAGAAAGTGGTCCCTGACTACGCGAAGGGAGTCAGGGAGGCGGGTGACTATGTAGTAGAGAGTGATGTACATGGGGGGGGGTTCTTGGCGTAGAACTCAGCAGGAAGCGCAGCGCGGTAGCGAGTGTCACTAGTGCGGAGGTGCGTAATGAGGTCAGCGAGTGTGGGAAAGGCAGCAAGGTCAGGGAAGAGGTACGGTAGCATGAGGCGGCTCAGTGCAGCAGTGGCAGGGGAGGAGTGGCGTGCAACTACAACATCGTACAAGGTCTGAGCACTCTTGTACTGGCTAAAGTGCGCACGCTCAGAGGTGGGAAGGTGGCGACGCACAGCAAGACCTGCAGCAGCATCGCGCGTGGCCCACTGTGAGCGAAGAGTGGCGTCAGCATCAGCAGCAGGGGCAGGAGAGGCACCAGAGGTGAGGTCAAAGAGAGAGAGAGTCCGTCTGCCCTATCGCACTGTAAGAAAAGCTGAAGGTCATCTATCCAGACGTCAAAGTCAATGGCCCTACCCTCAGCGTCAAAAGCGAGGACACTAGGGGTGGCCATGACAGAAGTAGATTAGCAGCGCAAACAGTAGGGTAAGGGCGGTGCGGAGAAAGAGGCGCTGCTCTTACCGGAGAGGGCGGCTCGAGCGAATGGGCGGTGCGGGCGGCTCGGCTGCTGGGCGGCTCGGCGCTGGGCGGCTCGGCTGCTGGGCGACTCGGCGGTGCGGGCGGCTCGGCTGCTGGGTGGCTCGGCTGCTAGGCGGCTTGGCTGCTGGGCGGCTCGGCTGCTGGGCGGCTCGGCTTCTGGGCGGCTCGGCGGCTCGGCGGCTGGGTGGCTCTGCAGCTCGGCTGCTGGGCGGCTGGGCTGCTCGGCGGTTTGGGTGCAGGGCTGCGCGGCTGCCGGCTGCTCGGCTGGGTATGGCGGCTGGGGCAGCTCGGGTGGCGGGCGGCGCTGCAGCAGGCGACGGGGCCGCAGGTAAGGGCGGCGGGGCCGCAGGTAAGGTGGCGGGGCTGCAGGTAAGGTGGCAGGGCCGCAGCGAAGGGCGGCAAGGCCGCAGGTAAGGTGGCAGGGCCGCAGGTAAGGTGGCGGGGCCGCAGCGAAGGGCGGCAGGGCCGTAGGTAAGGTGGCGGGGCCGCAGCGAAGGGCAGCGGGGCTGCAGGTAAGGTGGCGGGGCCGCAGGTAAGGTGGCGGGGCCGCAGCAGCAGGCGACGGGGCCACAGGTAAGGGCGACGGGGCCGTAGGTAAGGGCAGCGGGGCCGCAGTGAAGGGCGGCGGGGCCGTAGCAAGGTGGCGGGGCCGCAGCGAAGGGCGGCGGGGCCGCAGCAAGGTGACGGGGCCGCAGCGAAGGGCGGCGGGGCCGCGGTAAGGGCGGCGGGGCCGCAGGTAAGGGCGGCGGGGCCGCAGGTAAGGGCGGCGGGGCCGCAGGTAAGGGCGGCGGGGCTGCTAGTAGGGTGGCGCGCCCGCAGGTAGGTGGCAGGGCCGCGGGTGAGGGCGGCGCGAGGGGCCGCGGAGGTCGGCGGCGTGCCGTTACGGGCGGCGCAAGGGCGGCGACGGGCCGCTGAGGGTGGCGACGGGCCGAGTAGGGCGGCGTCAGGCCGCGAAGGGCGGCAGCGGGCCGAGTAAGGGCGGCGCGAGGGAGGCCGCTAGGGGCGACGCGACGGGGCCGAAGGAGGCCTAGGACGGGCGCGACGGTAGAGAGGGCACACGAGGCGCGACTCGGGCCTAAGCGAAGTGCGCTCCGGGCAGGAAAAAAAAAATTCGACTTGGTGGGCCCTAGGAACAGTTCCCACGAGGAAACTGTCAGAACATTATAGCTTATGCTTTTGTGTAGGCTATAGTGGGGTATCCCATAGGGGGTACAACCCAATTAGGGTTAGTACTTGTACCCACTTCACTCATAGTTCATTCATTCTCGTTCTATTCTTCTCATGGTATCGAGCAGGTTCCCCTGTGGGAACTGCGCCTAGGGCCCACCACTCAATTTTTTTTTCTTGCCCGAAGCGCACTCATCCCGAGTCGCGCCTCGGGCCATTCTCTTACCGAGCCGCCCTAGCGGCCGACCCTACGATCGCGGCCCCGCCGCCCCTTGATCGCGGCCCCGTCGCCCTTACCTTGCGGCCCCGCCGCCCTTATATCGCGGCCCCGCCGCCCCTGCTCTCGCGGCCCCGCCGCCCTTACCTCGCGGCCCCGTCGCCCTGCTGTCGCGGCCCCGCCGCCCTTACGTCGCGGCCCCGCCGCCCTTACATCGCGGCCCCGCCGCCCCTGCACTCGTGGCCCCGCCGCCCTTACGTCGCGGCCCCGCCGCCCTTACATTGCGGCCCCGCCGCCCTTTGATCGCGGCCCCGTCGCCCTGCGGTCGCGGCCCCGCCACCCTTACATCGCGGCCCCATCGCTCTGCTCTTGCGGCCCCGCCGCCCTCCTATCGCGGCCTCGCCGCCCTGAGCTGTGCGGCCTCGCCGCCCTCTCCTACGCGGCCCCGCCGCCCTCACCAACGCGGCCCCACCGCCTTCACCTGAGCGGCCCCTGCCGCCTTCACCTACGCGGCCCCGCCACCTTCACCTACGCGGCCTCGCCGCCCTCACCTACGCGGCCCCGCCGCCCACGCACCCGACCGCCACGCCGCCCGGTACCGGAGCAGCCGAGTCGCCCAGCAGCAGCCGCTGCACCGCCGAACCACCGAGCCGCAGTGCAACCGAGCCGCCCCGCCCCCGAGCCGCCCTGCACCCGAGCCGCCCGGCAGCCGAGCCGCCCCGCCCCCGAGCCGCCCTGCACCCGAGCCGCCCAGCCGCCGAGCCGCCCGGGAGCCGAGCCGCCCAGCAGCCGAGCCGCCGAGTCGCCGAGCCGCCCGACCTGCCCTGCCCGGTGAGCACCGTACCACTGTCACTGCGTGCCCTTCCCCTACTACTTGCACTGCTCCACTGTCGTCGTCATGGCTACCCCTAGTGTCCTCACTTTTGACGCTGAGGGTCGAGCCATTGACTTTGAGGTGTGGGTCGACGACCTGCAGCTGTTCTTACAGTGCGATAGGGCGGACGGCCTTTCCCTCTTTGACCTCACCTTTGGCGCCTCTCCTGCCCCTGCTGCTGATGCTGACCCCATTGTTCGCTCTCAGTGGGCCACCCGCGATGCTGCTGCACGTCTTGCTGTGCGTCGCCACTTGCCCACCACTGAGCGCGCGCACTTTAGTCAGTACAAGAGTGCTCAGACCTTGTACGACGCTGTAGTTGCGCGCTACTCTTCCCCTGCCACTGCTGCACTGAGCCGTCTCATGCTACCGTACCTCTTTCCTGATCTCACCGCCTTTCCCACTGACGCTGACCTCATTACGCACCTCCGCACTAGTGACACTCGCTACCGCGCCGCCCTTCCTGCTGAGTTCTGCGCCAAGAACCCCCCCCCATGTACATCACTCTCTACTACATAGTCACACGCCTCCCTGACTCCCTTCGCTTAGTCAGGGACCACTTCCTCTCAGTCTGTCCCACCACTCTCACTGTCGACCTCCTCGAGAAGGCCCTCCTAGCGGCGGAGAAGAGCATCGTCGCCGTCGGAGCCTCTCGTGGTGACCCTCGCACCCCCATCTTTGAGGGGTGTTCTCCTTCCCCCCTACTGCCCTCTGTTGCCTCTGCTGCTGCTGCCGACCTGCTTGGTCTTGAGTCGGTCGGTGTGGCGTCTGCCCCTAGCGGGAGACGCCGCCCTGGCAAGGGCAAGGGGGGCAAGGGCGCGGGTGGAGCTGGAGGGGGCGGTGGAGGTGGCGGTGGAGGCGGCGGAGGGAGTGGGGGTGGCGGTGGGAGTAGTGGCGGAGGCGGTGGTGGTGGTGGCAGCGGCGGAGGAGGCGGCGGTGGCGGCGGCAGCGGTGGGAGTGGAGGCGGCGGTGGTGGCGGAGGTGGAGGCGGCGGTGGCAGAGGGGGTGGAGCTGGTCGGGGTGGTGCCCCGCAGCAGAGCTGCTCTGCTAGTGGTCCGCGCCAACAGCAGCAGCAGCAGCGTTCGCGGGACATCCCCCCGCCCCAGCAGCTCCGTGAGTGGTACACGCAGCGTCAGAGGGGTGGGGGTACTGGTCTGTGCGCCTACGTTCTTCGTTCCGGCGACCGCGCTGGTGAGCAGTGTGGGGGTGCCCACCCCACCTAGCGCTGCTTTGGCCGCCTGACGGACGCTTGGCGTCAGCAGTTCCCCGAGGCTAGTGAGATTCCCCGCTGGGGAGAGCTGTCTAGGGCTGGTGTAGCTATCTTTGATCTTGACTTTGATGCTATCCTTGCTGCCATGTATGCTGTGACTATTAGTGAGGAGGGTGACTGTTACCGGTGTTTCCCGCCCGACCCGGGCATTGGTACTGCTGCGCTAGGTGCTTGTGAGGCTGCTGCTCTAGGTGCTAGTGCGTCTGCGCTCTCAGGTACTGGTGAGGCTGCGCTCCCAGGTACTGCGTCGGCTTCGGCCTCCCTCACTTTCACACTTGACTCAGGGGCTTCTCGCTCCTTCTTTCGAGACCGCACCAAACTCACGCCGCTTGGTCGGCCGGTTGCAGTCTCCCTGGCTGACCCCTCTGGGGGTCCTGTCCTCTCTCACTTCTCCACTGTCCTCCCGTGTCCGGCTGCCCCCTCGGGCACCCTGTCTGGTCTGTACCTCCCCTCGTTCTCGACGAACTTGGTGAGTGGTGCTGACCTACAGGATATGGGGGTTCACCACTTTACTCCTGCGAATCAGCGGATGACCCACTGCACGGACGCACGCACAGGCCGGCACCTGGCCACGTTCTCGCGTCGGCCAGGGTCGAGCCTCTAAACCCTGACCACTAAGTCTCCTCCTGTCCCTGCGTCTGGCCAGGTAGCTGCGTCGGGTCAGGTGTTTGCTGCTGCGTCCCGGTCTGGTCCTGAGTCTGCCCCCTGTTCATGTTGCCTCCTGTCTCACGAGACTCTCTTGTGGCACCACCGTCTTGGCCACCCCTCCTTGCCTCGTCTTCGGGGCATGGCTTCCCGTGTCCTTGTCTCTGGTCTCCCCCAGTCTCTCCCTCCCCTTCCTTCGGGACCAATACCTTCCTGTGTCCCCTGTGTCGAGGGGCGCCTCCCGGCTGCTCCTCACTCCTCCCAGTTTCCCCCGACAGAGGCTCCTCTGCAGACACTTCACATGGACGTGTGGGGCCCGGCCCGCATCCGTGGGCAGGGTCACGAGCGCTACTTCGTGCTGGTGGTTGAGGACTACTCGCGTTACACCATAGTCTTCCCCTTGCGCAGCAAGGGTGATGTCACTGAGGTGCTGATCGACTGGATCCGCGCAGCTCGTCTCCAGCTCAGGAGGAGCTTCGGCTCGGACTTTCCTGTTCTGCGTCTGCACTCTGACCGAGGTGGGGAGTTCTCCTCTGGCCTTCTGCGGGCCTACTGTCGTGCACGGGGGGTTCGCCAGACCTTTACGCTTCCGGACTCTCCACAGCAAAATGGGATTGCTGAGCGCCGCATTGGCATGGTCATGGACGTCGCTCGTACGTCCATGATGCATGCGGCTGCCCCCCATTTTCTGTGGCCGTTTGCGGTTCGGTACGCGGCGCATCAGCTCAACCTTCACCCCAGGGTCTCCCGGCCGGAGACCTCCCTAGCTCTGCTGTGGACAGGGAAGGTCGGCGATGCATCTGCGTTCCGTGTCTGGGGATCTCGGGCGTTTGTCCGCGACTTGTCTGCGGACAAGCTATCCCCTCGTGCTGCTCCCTGTGTCTTCCTGGGCTTCCCCCTTGACGCCCCAGGGTGGCAGTTCTACCACCCCTCCTCTCGCCGTGTTCTGTCCTCCCAGGACGTCACGTTCGACGAGTCGGTCCCCTTCTACCGCCTCTTCCCCCACCGCACTCCTTCTCTCCCGCCGCCGCCGCACTTCCTTGTGCCAGGTCCCCCCCCGGTAGATCCCCTTCCCCCTCAGGGTCCTGCCCCTTCAGGTGTGTCCCAGGTCGATGCAGTCCAGCCGGTCGAGGTTGCTGGTGACTCAGGTACTGCTAAGGGTGCTGAGCCTAGGGGTGCTGAGCCTGGGGGTGCTGACTCTGGGGGTGCTGAGTCTTGGGGTGCTGAGCCTGGGGGTGTTGAGCCTGGAGGTGCTGAGCCTAGGGGTGCTGCCTCTGGGGGTGCTGAGCCTGGGGGTGCTGACTCTGAGAGTGCTGCGCGCGTGGGTGCTGAGCCTGGGGGTGCTGAGCCTGGGGGTACTGCGCCTAGGGGTGCTGAGCCTGGGGGTGCTGTGTCTGGAGCTGCTGAGCCTGGAGGTGTGGAGCCTGCGGCCACTGGACCTCCCCTTGTGGCGCGTGGCGGTACTGGACCTGGAGGTTCTCCGGGTGTTTCGTCTCGGCGGGAGCCACTCTCTCCACAGGAGCTGCGTGAGTGTTTTGCTCGCCGATGGAGGCCTACTGCTGGAGCTGGCGCTTCTTCGGCCGCTGAGGGTGCTGGTGCCGCCGGTCCCGGAGCTGCTGGGCCTGCGGGTCCGCCTGGAGCTGGAGCTGCTGAGGGTGTTGGTTTTGAGACTACTACTGTACGTCCTAGTGGTGGTCTTGCTGCGGGTGCTACTAGCGCTGCTGGAGGTCGTGCTGCTGGAGGTGCTGTTGGCGCTGGTGCTGCCGGAGGTGCTGAGGATGCTGGTGCTGTCCCTGCTGTGTCTGGTGCCGCCGCGCGGCCTCGGCCGTACTTCGTTCCTCTCCTTCAGCAGGTTCTTGGTCTTCCTCCTCTCTTAGAGGGTCCACCGCCTGTCCAGTCGCAGTCGCAGTTACCGCCGGCCTCCCCACTGCCTTCTCCCTCTCCCTACACTGGTCCTACTGGAGGTCTTGCTGAGCATCGTGAGCCTGCGTCTCGTCCTGCGTCGCCTGTTCGTGCTGCTCGCACTAGTGGTCGCAGTTCGCGTCAGCGTCCTTCTCCTGTCCCTGGCATGCACCGGATGTCTCTACGTCCGTCCACTGCTCCTCTGCGTGCCCCTCTGCCCTCTCCTCCTGAGTCCTCTCTTCCTGCGCTTGCCGACCCTGAGTCGGACTCTCTTCGTGCTGCCAGTCCTACTGTCACGCGTCTCCTTGCTACTGTCGTCACTGACCCCTCCTTTGAGTCCACTACTGCGTCTGCTCTTGTTGCTGAGCTCGTGGACTTTGCTGCTCGCTGTCGTCTAGACTACGCTGCCAGTCTTGTTGCTGAGTCTGCGTCTGTCTGTCCTCCGTCCGTCGGGGGTGAGTGTGCCTTTGGCACAAACGTCCTTGAGGACAGGCAGGAGGAGTTTCAGTGTCTGGCTGCTGCTTCACCTCATCTCGCGTCTGTACTGCTTGCCCCTGAGGGAGACCCGGATGCACTAGACATCCCGACTCCGCGCTCTTACGCGGAGGCCGTAGAGGGTCCCTACTCCTCTCAGTGGCAGGCAGCTATGGATGCAGAGATGGCTTCCTGGAAGTCCACAGGCACCTACGTTGACGCGGTTCCCCCTCCTGGGGCGAACATCGTCAGTGGCATGTGGATCTTCAGGGTGAAGCGGCCGCCGGGCTCTCCACCTGTCTTCAAGGCACGGTACGTTGCTCGTGGCTTCAGTCAGCGGCAGGGAGTTGACTACTTTCAGACCTTCTCTCCCACCCCGAAGATGACCACTCTTCGGGTGCTGCTGCACATAGCCGCTCAGCACGACTACGAGCTCCACTCTCTTGACTTCAGCACTGCTTTCTTGTAGGGTAGCCTGCACGAGGAGATCTGGCTGCGCCGTCCACCTGGCTTCACTGGGACTTTCCCTCCTGGCACCCAGTGGAGCCTCCGACGGCCAGTCTACGGTCTCCGCCAGGCACCGCGTGAGTGGCACGACACACTGAGGACTACGCTCGCGGCTCTTGGGTTTGCTCCCTCTACTGCTGACCCGTCGTTGTTTCTGCGCACCGACACTTCTCTGCCGCCGTTCTACATCCTCGTGTACGTCGACGACTTGGTCTTTGCCACAGCGGACACTGCTGGACTCGCCTACGTGAATTCCGAGCTGCAGAAGAGACACACGTGCACAGACCTGGGTGAACTGCGCAGCTACCTTGGCTTGCAGATCACTCGGGACAGAGCACGCCGCACCATTACCTTGACTCAGTCACACATGGTGCAGCAGGTCCTTCAGCGCTTCGGCTTCACGTACTCCTCGCCTCAGGCCACTCCTCTGTCTACTCGCCACTCGCTCTAAGCTCTGCCTTCGGATGAGTCCGTAGAGTCGAGTGGCCCGTACCCAGAGCTTGTTGGCTGCCTCATGTACCTGATGACCTGCACACGACCTGACCTTGCATACCCTCTTAGCATCTTGGCACGCTATGTTGCTCCTGGGAGACACCGACCAGAGCACATGGCTGCAGCGAAGAGGGTGTTGCGCTACTTGTGCAGTACGTTGGGCATAGGGCTAGTGCTTGGAGGGCGGAGTCCAGTGGTCCTCACTGGGCACGCGGACGCTTCTTGGGCTGACGACCAGGCTACGCAGCGGTCGTCGCAGGGTTACACCTTCAGTCTTGGTTCTGGCTCTGTTTCGTGGCGGGCTACTCGCTCGTCTTCTGTTCTCGGCTCCAGTTGTGAGGCTGAGATCTACGCCGGGGCCATGGCTTCTCAGGAGCTTCGCTGGCTCACCTACCTGCTGACTGACCTTGGAGAGCCGCCTCGTTCTTCTTTAGTGCTGTACGTAGACAACAAGGCCATGCTGGCCTTGTGTCGAGAGCAGCGCCTGGAGCACAGAACGAAGCACATTGCTCTCCGCTACTTTCTTGCTCGTGAGCTGCAGCAGCGTGGTCAGTTGCGACTTGCGTACGTGGCCTCTGAGGCCAACACTGCTGATGTTTTCACCAAGGCACTTCTGCCTTGTGATCATCAGCGCTTCTGCACTCAGCTGGGACTTGTACCTGTCTTACCTCACTTGCTCACCTCCTGATCTTACTTGTACTCTTGCACATATATTTATACCTGCTCTTGCTTGTTTAGTATTATATATGTATGTGCACTCCTGCATGTGAACTGGCCTTGTGGCCTTGACCTTGTGCTCGGACTGTGTGGTGACGTTGTGATCCACCCTGAGCTTGCTTTGCTTTGCTTTACTTGACTGGTCTTGTGACCCCTTGTTCTCCCCCACTTTGCCTATGGGGGTGTGTCAGAACATTATAGCTTATGCTTTTGTGTAGGCTATAGTGGGGTATCCCATAGGGGGTACAACCCAATTAGGGTTAGTACTTGTACCTACTTCACTCATAGTCCATTCATTCTCGTTCTATTCTTCTCAGGAACCTGCTCGATACCATGAAAAGAAACGAGAATGAATGACTAAGGAATGAAAGTGATACAAGTATGCAACCTTAGAATTGTGTACCCCATATAGGCTACCACTACAGCCTACACAACATTATAATTTGACATATAGCATATGAGTTTGACAAGCGCGCCTCGCTTGCAACTCAGCCTCTCACCGTCACTCTCACCCCCATACTTTCACCCCATACTCCCTCCCCTCTCTCCCCATCACAAAAAACCGGGCCTGAGAACAGGCGGTTTTGGTTCGGTTTTCTGTCCAACCAATTGAAATCCGTCAGAAAACGCTCAACTTGTTCCGACGGATTTCCAACGAGTGGCGCACAGGTATTGTCACTGAATTTTCCTGCGGTTTTCCATCTCGGAGAGGTTTGATGATTTCCGGCAGAAAAAAGACAAGGTTTCCGGCGGATTTCCACCACCATCGCGCTTCGGTCGAAACGAGCTTCCCCAACAATAAATCAGATAAATGAATCAACTGTAGACGCAGTACACTTTGTAATTAGCTCTGTTGCAATTTTGCCATACACAAATTTTGATTTTCCTGAATTTGAATTACATGCTGCTTTACCAAATATATCATCATTTCTTAAAAAGAGTTCTAGATTTGTTTTTCCAAATAGATGCATTAATCGTTGGGCAACTTGCAGGATTTACAGAATCATTAGAAATACTTCAGTACAAACAATGATAAATTGCTTCTCAAGCATACACATTGAACTCCATGAAGCACAAAATAGGGAAACGTTGCTGCAGAATAAACTGCAGTCCTAGCTGCTGCTGCTGATGCTGCTTTAGCTGCTGCTGCTGATGTTGCTTTAGCTGCTGCTGCAACTGTTGCTGCTGGAAAAGCAGAATGTAAGCAAGGAGAACCTCGATTCACAGTTAACAATTAGAATTCATCCCTACACAAGCAAAATCTAGGAGAAACTCTTACGTGCATTCGCATCACCAAATATCACTCGATACTTTATGCAGTTCGAAACGATGGTCTGCAAAATCAACAAACAATGAGAGGTTACACAACTATTTGATATGCGAATTGCGAAAAAAAACACGAAGATGACAGGTTAAAACACGAAAAAAACGACCAACACGCTGGGGGTGTTGCGGAACTTTCTCGCTTTTCTTAGTTCTGCATCAGAAAAAACACAACGCCAAAGAGTACATCAAGAGCGCTCCCAGAATCAGATGACAAACACCAACATGAAATAATAACGATTGTGAATCAATAAATAGCTATCAACCGTCGTAGAAGCGAGTGGATAAGTTACGAGTTACGTAAGCGAGTGAAGCTGACATTGAGAAACCCGTAAAGGAACGAGATGAAAGGCGAGTTACTTGAGTCTAGGGAGGCTGACTAAGGCAAACTGAACAGACTTGTGGCAGATGAGTGCCATGAAAGAGGATGAGGGGAGGGAACGTTGAGCATCGTGCGCCACGTGTTGTTGCTGCTCGTGTTGCGAGGAGGAGTTGTGCTTGCACAACACTTTTGTCGAAATTTGGTTGGTTGGGAAACCTGCTACGCAGTTGCGCTGGAGGCAGTTCCAGTAACTGCGCGCAGGTGGTTGCAGCAATTGCGTTGCTGGCGCTGCTGTACAGCAGCTCCGCCGTTGGCAATTGCGCAGCTCGACTGTGTGAGAATTACGAGGCATGAATGACTAAGGAAAGAGTGTGATACAAAATGTGAAACCCAAGAAATTGTGTACCCCTTAGTATCTAACCCGCTACAGCCTACACAGGCTAGATCATATATGTCTGACACACCCCCATAGGCAAAGTGGGGGAGAACAAGGGGTCACAAGACCAGTCAAGCAAAGCAAAGTAAGCTCAGGGTGGATCACAACGTCACCACACATTCCGAGCACAAGTTCAAGGCCACAAGGCCAGTTCACATGCAAGATCATATATAAAGGTAAACAAGCAAGTGCAGGTATAGAAAGATCACAGTACAAGCAAGGTCAAGAAGTGAGCAAGTGAGGCCAAGTAGGCACAAGACCTAACATCGTGCAGCAGCGCTGATGATCACAAGGCGGAAGTGCCTTGGTAAAGATATCAGCAGTGTTGGCCTCAGAGGCCACGTAAGCAAGGCGCAGCTGACCATGCTACTGCAGCTCACGAGCAAGGAAGTAGCGAAGAGCAATGTGCTTCGTTCTGTGCTCCAGTCTGTGCTCCCGACACAAGGCCAGCATGGCCTTGTTGTCGACGTACAGAACTGGAGGAGAACGAGGCGGCTCTCCTAGGTCAGTCAGCAGGTAGGTGAGCCAGCGTAGCTCCTGTGCAGCCATGGCCCCCGCGTAGATCTCAGCCTCACAGCAGGAGCCGAGACCAGAAGACGAGCGGGTAGACCGCCACGAAATAGAGCCGGAACCAAGGCTGAAGGTGTAACCTTGTGACGACCGCTGCGTAGCCTGGTCGTCAGCCCAAGAAGCGTCTGCGTGACCTGTGAGGACCACTAAACGCCGCCCTCCAAGCACTAGCCCCATGCCCGATGTACTGCATAAGTAGCGCAACACCCTCTTCGCTGCAACCATGTGCTCTGGTCGGTGTCTCCCAGGAGCAACATAGCGTGCCAAGATGCTAAGAGGGTATGCAAGGTCAGGTCGAGTGCAGGTCATCAGGTACATGAGGCAGTCAACAAGCTCTGGGTACGGGCCACTCCGCTCTACGGACTCATCCGAAGGCAGAGCTGAGAGCGATTGGCGAGTAGACAGAGGAGTGGCCTGAGGCGAGGAGTACGTGAAGTCGAAGCGCTGAAGGACCTGCTGCACCATGTGTGACTGAGTCAGGGTAATGGCGCGCTGTGCTCTGTCCCGGGTGATCTGCAAGCAAAGGTAGTTGCGCAGTTCACCCAGGTCTAAGCACGTGTGTCTCTTCTGCAGCTCGGACTTCATGTGGGCGAGTCCAACAGTATCAGTAGTGGCAAAGACCAAGTCGTCGACGTACACGAGGATGTAGAACGGCGCCAAAGAGGTGTCGGTGCGCAGAAACAGCGACGGGTCGGCAGTAGAAGGAGCAAACCCAAGAGCCGCAAGTGTAGTCCTCAGTGTGTCGTGCCACTCACGGGGCGCATGGCAGAGACCGTAGACTGGCCGCCAGAGGCTCCAATGGGTACCAGGAGGAAACGACCTAGTGAAGCCAGGTGGGCAGCGCAGCCAGATCTCCTCGTGCAGGCTGCCCTAGAAGAAAGCTGTGCTGAAGTCAAGAGAGTGAAGCTCGTAGTCGCAATGAGCGGCTATGTGCAGCAGCACCCGAAGAGTGGTCATCTTCGGAGTGGGAGAGAAGGTCTAAAAGTAGTAAACTCCCTGCCGCTGACTGAAGCCTCGAGCCACGTAACGCGCCTTGAAGACAGGCGGAGAACCCGACGGCCGCTTCACCCTCAAAATCCACATGCCACTGACGATGTTCACCCCAGGTGGGGGAACCTCGTCGACGTAGGTGCCTGTGGACTTCTAGGAAGCCATCTCTGTGTCCATGGCTGACTGCCACTGAGAGGAGTAGGGACCCTCGATCGCCTCAGCGTACGATCGAGGAGTCGGGATGTCTGGTGCATCCGGGTCTCCCTCAGGGGCAATCAACATGGACACGAGATGAGGCAAAGCAGCAGCAAAACACTGGAACTCCTCGTGCCTGTCCTTAAGGACGTCCGTGCTAAGAGCACACTCACCCCCGACGGACGGAGGACAGACAGACTCAGACTCAGCAACGAGACTAGCAGTTTAGTCTAGACGATAATGAGCAGCGAAGTCGACAAGCTCAGCAAGTAAGGCAAACGCAGTAGTGGACTCAAAGGAAGGGTCAGTGACAATAGTAGCCAGTAGACACATGACAGTAGGAGTGGCAGCACGAAGGGAGTCAGACTTCGGGTCAGCAAGAGCAGGAAGAGAGGACGCATGAGGA